GGAAGGGACTTGAGATGAAAAAGTAACAACTAAACTTAGAATAAGGATGACATTCTCAGACATGGCCTTTAGTCCATCTTAGTGAAACACAGTAGAACCTCAAAGTTACAAACTGACCGGTCAACCACAGAGCTCATTTGGGACCAGAAGTGCGCAATCAGGCCGCAGCAGAGACAAAAAAAAGTGCAAATACAGTAAAGTACTGTGTTAAATGTAAACTACTAAAAAAATAAAGGGAAAGTTTAAAAAAAAGAAGATTTGACAAGGTAAGGAAACAGATTGTTTCATTTAAATTAAGATGGTTAAAGCAGCATTTTTCTTCTGCATAGTAAAGTTTCAAAGCTGTATTAAGTCAATGTTCAGTTGTAAACTTTTGAAAGAACAACCTGTGATGGTGCCCCCCACAAGGCTTTATGGAATATGCTTATGAATGTATATGTGACATAACTGGAATATGTTTTAGGCTACATACGCCATGTAACATATCTATGTAAAGGTTATGATCTACTGAATATATTCATCCTATTTGTATCCATGTGTCATTTTTGTATTCGAAGTTATGACTATTGGCTGTGTACAGGCTTGATTTTAACTAGCCTAGCGGAGCATTTGGTCAGCTTCTTGAGAAAAGTGCAAATTAAGTGCCCAATCAAAAATCACTTAAGGCAACAATGAACTTGAAGATGCCAATCCACATCTGAGCCTTCCCAGGAATGTGGCTTGGCTGGTAAAAACTGAGCCATGCATGGACATGTGGCTTGCCCATATGACTCCAAAACTCCATCTTGGAGCTGGACTTTGCATAGGAGAGAGGAGGGGGTCTCCACCCACAAGAGAAAGTCTACTTAAACCCCTGGGAGACCCCTCCATTTGGTCTTCAGCTGGCTAAAGAGATAGCCTCTCCACCCCCAAGGATACCTGAAAGAAACTGGAGCAAAGGACAGTAATTACAGGGGGTGTGAGTGATTGCTGGACCCAAACTAGCAGGAGACTAGTCTGTAAAAGGAAGCTTACTGGAACTGGTGAGGTTATATCTGTATTCAGTTTTCTTAGACATAGACTTGCGTGTTCTATTTTACTTGGTAATTCACTTTGTTCTGTCTGTTACTACTTGGAACCACTTAAATCCTACTTTCTGTATTTAATAAATCACTTTTTACTTATTAATTAACTCAGAGTATGTATTAATACCTGGGGGCGAGGGGAGGCAAACAGCTGTGCCTCTCTCTCTCTCTCTGCTATAGAGGGCGAACAATTTATGAATTTACCCTGTATACGCTTTATATAGAGTAAAACAGATTTATTTCTGTTTAGACTCCATTGGGAGTTGGGCATCTGAGTGTTAAAGACAGGAACACTTCTGTGAGCTGCTTTCAGTTACGTCTGCAACTTTGGGGCACGTGGTTCAGACTCTGGGTCTGTGTTGGAGCAGACTGGCGTGTCTGGCTCAACAAGACAGGGTGCTGGAGTCCCAGGCTGGCAGGGACAGAAATAGTCTTGGCACATCAGTTGGCAGCCCCAAGGGGGTTTCTGTGATCCAAGTCGTCACACAACCATAACTTTTTTTCTGAGTTACAAACACCTCGGGAATAGAGGTTGCTTGCAACTGTACTAACATTAACTGTTTTGACTTTTTTCTTCTTTTTTTAGACTCTATTCCACAGAATTGCCAACGCAAGTATAAACAAATAAAGAAAGATTGAAGTTAAACATCAAAAAGCTAGTGTGGCTTTAGGTTGACTCTCTATGGAAAACTGTAGCTTTCCAAAAGTTGGGAATACTGACTTGACAACCCTGCAAAAGTCTTCAATTTATCCAGAACAGGTAAAGGCTGGACAACAGCACTGCAAGCTTCCCCCCGTGCACACGAACCTGAACGTAGGAGACTGAGGGGTTTCTCAAGGGTGAGAAGATAGAGAATAAGCTATGTCTCACTTAGGCCAGCCTTTTCAAAATTAGATGCCTAAAAACTAATGCCCTTGAAAACCAGACCATTTAGAAGTACTGAGCAAGTCATTGGAAACTGGGGCATTTTATACCTCTGAAAAACCAAGCCACTAATTTAGGTGCTTAACATCAAGCACCCACATTTGAAAGATTTGGTGTTAATACTCGGCCTCTCCTTTGAAAGCAACAACAAAAGGGCTGTTTAGTGCCAACTGTAACGGTAGGTTTGTTTTTAAATCTGGAACTGGCTGAGATCACGTCTTATTTCAGTCTACCTGGCAGACTCATGGTGTTGACTTTCTCACTACTAACGGAGGCAGACTGGAACCACTAACCACAGAAGAAAGAGGCTCCTTATGCAGTTACAGTATGTGATCAACACTTGAGCCATCAGCTACTCAGTTTATAATTTTATTTAAGAGCCAATGAATTAGAAACTTCCCAATCTCTCACTTTGTGGCAATGTACAGTAAAAATTAAAGTTGGCACAGTAACAAGTGTAATACTAATGGAAGTTGCAGCAATGCCAGTGTCAGAAAGAGTTCATGCCAAAACAGAGATTTAAAAGGCCTTTAAAATAACATAGCACCTCACGTGATTTGGCAGTGTGTGCCCTGTACTCCCACTACATTCAATGGGATCTGCGGATGCTGAGTACCTCACGGGATTGGGACCCAATAACATCATTTCATTTCAGTTTTTAAAATGCAAAAAGCTAAACGACTGACTTCTATTTGTAGTAAAATACAATGTATCCAGTTGTGAACACACACCTGGCCATTCATTTTAAGCTTACTTTAAGTAAAGAGATCCAACAGTCAGTATGCAGCAAACAAAAGCTTTTTTTAAAAGTTACAATACTGATCCATTTATGGCTAAAATGTGTAAGCTAAAGAGAAAAAAAGCGTTCTGTCTTATACATAGATAAGTTAGGAGGAATTCAACACGGACACAAAGAAGTGCTGGTTTAAAACATGAAGAGTAGGTGGTAAAGCAGCTGAATTTGCACTGATTTGGCCTTCACTGGGCATGTCCAAGGAGTAATACACCAAGAGGGCAGAAGGAGAGCATAGTGGCAAAAGCAACTAACAAAAGAAACCTCCCTACTCTCCCTCCAAGCACAAACTATTTTTCACTCTCTTCTCACCATTTTTTCCTGAAACACTTCTACCATCAAATAGCCCATTGAATGCCAGATCCTTGAAAGTGACCCTATTTTATAAATAACATCTGTTTTTAGCCAACTGACACTCAGGACACAGTTTACATCACTGGTGAAAGCAGCCCAGAGACTTCCATGGGAGTGGCAACCACACCAGACTGAAGTTTGGCCACAGAACGCATGCATTATTTAACTTACTTTTGTTGGCAGTGGACACTCATCCAGTAGTAATGTTATAACAGCTGGCCCCAATGGATCTTCTAATGGAATAACTCTAATTAAAGATTGGACAACTTCCAGCCAGCCTTCATCTGTCAACCACAAAACAGAAGCAACTCTCAGAAAACGGTACTGCTATTTAAAATTGAAATAGAAGTGTTTAAAACATGGTATATATTATATATATAAAATACAAAAACAAAAACACAAACACACTTCAGTAGCATTTAAAAAAAAAAAAAGTGACCCTACTGAACTCATCTGAATGTCAGATTTTAATGGGTATTATTAAAGGTGCAGTTAACCATACACATTGTAGATCTATGGAATTTTAATTTGTAATATGCTGAAGGCTTTTATTTTGGAGAGAACATAAATTTCTACAATTGCCAGGGTAATGCTAGACAGAACATTTTAAAATGTTCAGGGAAACAATTCTGCCAATTGCGAGCACCTGGCTCTTGATTTGTCACATACGAATTGGTTCTGGGAGTTAAGTGAGCAATGCCCACTCCTGCTGTTAAACAAGCATTTACACTTACTGCCTTGCTTCAGACCAGATTCAACACTGCTTACTCCCTGTGAAATCCCATTGACATCAATGGGACTGCCGGGAGCATAAGTCAATTCTGATGTTGACTTTCCATTGGTGCTTATGAAAAGCATTTTCAGAAATTCTCACCAATTCATATATACGAACCAAGATTTCCATTTACAAGTAAGCAAAGGTAAATATTACATAAATTTAAAGAATTATTTACAAAAAATGCATCAATCTAGATGTTCAAGACAAAGTAACAAGAATATGGTCAATGGAAGATTTGGGTATGCAAGAAATAAGGGATGGGCCTATAATTTTTCCCAGAAGCAAAGAAAATATAGAAGATGATGGGTTTTATCTGAAAATGACCAAATGACTAAAAGGAGATAAGAGAGGCTTTGAAAAAACTAAGGGCAAGTGTGTATGGACCATGCAGGAGTTCCAGTCAGTGCCTTGGTAAAGTTTTAGTGGTATTTGCATGTTGCCTTGAGGACATATTTTGCTCACCAATCAAAGTTTAATGACCACTGTCTGAACAGGTTCAGTATTTTCTTAAAGACTTGTCTACAAACTAAAGCCATGCTCACACATACACTTACTGCACCGCATGCTAGGGTGTGAACCAATGTGCCACATAGTGACTGTCCATGCGGATCCTGCTGATGCACACAAAAAGCTCCCTAGTGTGCTTTGAGATACGCAGATTTATACACAAGCTTACCATGCAGCAAGTGTATGTGTAGACATGCCCTCAGGCACGCTGGGTGTTTTGGATCCACAAGGAATGTAGTACCAGGTCTAATGTGGTGCAATCTTGCAGAGGACGTTGCATACTAAGCGACAGGAACAGACTCTGTGCCAGCACAGCTCAGCATCTAGAGTGTGTTTAGGGACAGGGTGAGGACACGGCCACTAGACCTGTGATTGCTGCTACTAGATCTGCACTAACCCCTACGTGAGGGGAAGGGTTGCAGTCACTATCCAAGCACAGGGGCTGGAAGTGTGGCAACCCACTTCCTGTATGTGGATAAATTCCATCCCTTCACAAAAGTCCTGTGTACCTCATTGTAGAAAGCCTGTTAATTGAGTTTATAGCTGTCAGCTGGCTGATTTTGCACAGTTCATTTAGTAAATTTAACACAATTAGAAAGTGCATCTTACACTAATACGATGAGCTCAGTGAAATTATGAAGTACAGTCAGTATTTCAATAATGAACACAAATTGCTAGAATTACTGGATATAACATGTAATGCAGCCATATGTTTCTCTTTAGAAGGAAGATATTTCTCTGCCTCTGGCAATTGCAACCAAAATACTGAACAAAATGCGTTAATACCTGTTTCTGCCATTTCATGTAATGTTATCATTGAATAAGGAGGTTCCTGGTCACTGAAAGACAAATATTACATTGGTCAAAGTTGCTGTACCACCATCACCACCAAATACTTAAAATAAAGATCAGTGAACAGATGTGTACTGGAGTCATCTCTATGAAAAAAAGTTACACAGACTGCAAACCTCTAATGCTCTATTTGGATCTGAAATAGAAATGTGTATTGACTTGTATTCTGGCTCAAAGTTAACTTTTGCATTTCCAGAATAGCTGATAAACAAAATATACAGTGATCTACATCTGCATGTTTAAGATCTAGAGCCCCTAAAGTTTAATATACTACACATTGTAAAGTGTTCCTGAAAACATGTAGTAAGAGATACTGTACTTCAGAGGGCACAAACACAATGAAGAATAGACTGTGAGAGAAAGAGACATTGAAGAAGATTAAATGGATGTCCTCCTCCTCCCCCCCCCGAAAATCTCTACAAAACAAAAACAACAACAAAAACAGGTAGGTGTAGGTGTGTGTGTCAAACAATCCACAGTGTCTCTACAAACTTCAGTGTATTATCAAGGGCAGCAGAAAATAGGCCTGTCAGAGGGATCTTGTGAGAACAAACTGAACATATTTAACCCCACCTTCCCTTCTCCTTCCTCCCCCAAAATCTAGCAAGTGTTCAGCTAGTGAAATCGTAAGAAATACAGAACAACTTAGAAGTAGAAATAGAAGCGAGATGGAAAGTCTAACAATACAAGATACTGGAATATTGTAAACAAATGGTAAAAGAAAACTTAGGACTCATGGGAAAGAAAGTAAGGCAATGAAAACAGGGAAAGCTCAAATTCTGCCTCTGATTCATCTGTTCCAGGGAAGCAGCACAGGATTTATCAGAGGAGATTTAGAACTAGCAGGTGAAGAATGAGGAGTTGTTCATGCAATAGTGGAAAGAGTTATGAAAGGGTGAAAGGTTACATTAGAAGTTAAGGATGGAATTAAGTGTCCTACAAGGGAGTTTTGCTCAAGAAAATAAAGTAACAAGATGCATTTTCAATGCCCTAAAACAAAGATTAGATAAAAATGAGGACTCAAGGACAAAATGTTATTAACGAGGCATCAGAGGGATTGCTGTTGAGATCCCAACTTTATTCTACACCCCAACAGCTATGTCCCATGGCAAATTTTACTCATCTGTACTCCTCACACAATGGGGGCTGTACCTATGTAACAGAGTAAAACTACAGCTCAACAACAATACTTAGTACTTCTACAGCAATTCTCATCGCCTGAGTGCTTCACAGACGTTACTTGTTCAAGGCTAAAGAGGGAATCTGTGGCAATGCCAGTTTTAGACTAAGGAATTCCTCACTGCCAGTCCTGGGCTTCAGCAATCTCTATAATTTAATGTAGTCTCATCTACCATATTTGTGTGAACTGACATTAAATACAGTTGGATTAAAAATAAAAATATAAAAAGACTGATTAAAAAGGGTGCAGCTAGCACACCTTAAAAATCACAGAAGGCGGTTTAAATTACCTATGAAGAATTGCAGCATAAAATTTAACAGCATTAGGTTTCCAAATAAAAACGAATGGTGAAATTGGTCTTTTTCTTACAAGAAGAGGCTGTATTTCCTGTTGAACGTTTTTAAGTTTAAAATCTAGGTTACCAAAAAAAAATTAACATGATATTAAAGTATTTTGAAGCAAATCTGAACAAGCTGCTACACATAAAACCTTAAAACCAGATTGAAAAGAAAGATAATCATCACTAACGGAAAAGGTGGAACTACGTTGAAATCTGAATTAACCTCAAGAGAAAAGATATAAAGATAGACGGCTCAGAGAAATAAAATGCAGAAGTAAATGATGGGGAAAAAAAGAGGTTATTTGGCTCTGCAGGTGTTCTGATTCAGTTTTCTGGGCTAGTTTACAAGGCACAAGAAGAGAATGTATAAACTTCAGAAAATATATAAATCAAGTCATTTTAGTGCCATTAGTTCTCTCACTATGTGCAACTGCTTGCCCATTGTCTTTGTATTCCATTCCTTTATACTTAGTTCTTCATATGAGGGCCCCATGGACACTTTTCCTCCCTGTCCTCCCTGCAGCACAATGCTTTTTTATGAGCATGTACCGTATATATTCTCTGGAAGTCTGTTACTGTGTCGTTTTCACACAGTGGAGATGCTCAGAGCAACCGGCAGAGGAAGCGGGCCTTTCCTTCCATGATGTTCTTTCAATTTACATTAACAGTAAAAACACATTTCTAGCATTTTCGTTTTACTCTTCCTTGTCTGTAGTAGACATCATCATTTTAATTTTCCAAACATTGTTCCCTCCACCATACATCCTTCCCCGTGTTTGGGATGAAAAGGAAAATCAACATATTTTTGTTTACTACTTCATTTGCGCAACACCACCTTCCACCACTGCGCTTTTTAATTCTCCATTCTTGTATAGACCGGAGGTACCCCGAAAAAAAAAAACCAAAACAAAAAACACAGTTTCTTACAGTGTTTTTTGGAGAGAATGTTGGATTTTATTTCAAAAGCTAATGTTAAAAATCTGCAAAAGAATGTCCATTGTGGATCATGATATAAAGGATAAATCATATGTGGAATAATTAAATAGTCCATTTAAATGGACTTAAATTACTTTTCAGGACAGTGGATTTTGAAAAGAATGCCGTGAAGCTAATTTTTTAGAAAACAAATATCCTGAAATATGTTACTAAAACCACATAATTAAAAACTAATGTAGATTTTTTTTTTTAAATCTACATTAACTCAGAGAGCATCTGACTATTTCTGAACAAAGAAAGCTTGCTTGCATCTGGTTCCCAGGTGGGCATGGTTCAGATCCACCTCTATTGTTTATGCTGTTTAGCTTACACTTGTTCCTCTTTTCTCAACTTGGACAGAGAGTGGCCAACTTCACTGTTTCCTCTAAGTTTCACTTTTAGCTTCTCAAATAAAACTAAAGTTCTGAGTTGGAGACATCACAGGGGAAAGTTTCTGTTTCTGCAGTCGCGTGTTCTACAAAACCTTCCATTCCACTGTCCTTTTTTTTTTTTTTTTTTTTTTAAGTCCAGTGGAAATGTTTCTTTTGGTCTTAAAGGCACACTATCAGCTTGAAGTCTAGTCTGAGGTTCTCCAACTTTTCCACAGATATGGTACCTAAATGATTTTCTTATGGACAGTTCCCCATCATTCATGATTACATGACATCTTTGAGGCAACTACAGCAATTAATTATATGGAAAACAACATTAAGAAAGGGGGGAGGGATAGCTCAGTGGTTTGAGCACTGGCCTGCTAAACCCAGGGTTGTGAGTTCAATCCTTGAGGGGGCCACTTAGGGATCTGGGGCAAAATCAGTACTTGGTCCTGCTAGTGAAGGCAGGGGGCTGGACTCGATGACCTTTCAAGGTCCGTTCTAGAAGATGGGATATCTCCATTTATAAATAAATATAAATGTATTTTTTAGCTATTAACACAATTTATCAACAGAAAACAAGGGAGTCAGCACTCCAACAAAACAACCCCCCCCCCACAATATTTACTACACCTACCCCAGAGTCCTTCTGTAAACCACAGTTTATAATCATATTTTTCTGTTTTTGTACGTATTCTTCTTTCCCATGCTGCTGAGGGAAAGACCCACACCGAGTTAAGTAACCATAAGGTGGTGTCAAATTCATAAAGTAAATAAACGGGGGTGGGGGGGTGGGGAAGAGAGAGGAGATGAGAAAAATATACATTTCAACAGCTTTCATTTATAACACATCAGAGGTGTTGCTTGTAATACTAGTAGGGAAAATTCCAGCTGAAGGTGTCCTTTTCATGTTTTTAGAAAAAAAATATATAAATGTCAAGGCAAATCGGACCTCACATGCCCATTTACAGCACCCTTCAGCAGAAAGGCAGACTGACTCCTCCAGCAGGCGCATTCCAGAGTGCCCATGCAGACGCATGAATCAAAGCTCATTATCTTGAGATTTATCCAGTTTAAGCTCAGACCAAAGCTATTTAGCATAAAGTGCAATTGACATCGGTAATAGTTTCCTCCTGTTTTGGTCTCTCCAATCCATGCTTTTATCCAATCCAAATAATGATAAACAAACACTTTAGAGGCCCTTTTAAATATTTATGGAAAGCAACAGCATAACCATCAAAAACAAGGACAGATCCTGTGATCCTTGTGTATCCAAAACCACCACAATGGGTGCTCTGAGCATGCAATAAGTGCAGCACGTGGCTCACCATATGAGCAATTATAGTGTGCTGGCTTTAAGAATAAGAAATTAGATTTGCAACCTGGAAGAGTACACATATCTAATGAAGATGAAAGCCGTCTCTCTATAGTTTTGTTTAGCCATTTCCAGATTGAAGTATATACAAGCAAGTAAACAAAATTCTTCCAATGCAATTGATCTTTGGAGACAAAACAACCTTCCCTCTTATTTTAAAAATATTAATTTCATGCATGCTCTTGGTGGTTTCTGAGTAAGAGATCTCTTTAATCTTTAGCACCAAAGTTTTCAATGGAACAGTTTTCATTAATATTGAGTGATCCTTTCAGAGGTACTTACTTATCTACCAGTGTCCGTATTACTGCCAGCGTGTCAAGCACTAGTCCATCCACATTCTGTTTTTTCCTTCTTGGTTCATGTGGCCCTCGCCCCCTCCTGGGTGGCCTTACAGGGTCCCTTGGATGGCTTCTTGCTTCAGGTACTGGTACTCTACTATTCTGTGTTTGCTGATTCTGGGATTCTACGTTGTCTTCCACACCACTATCATCTCGACAAACACAGGAGTTGCCCATGTTGCTAGCACCCAAAGTTCCCAGTATGCAGGGGATGTGCTGCTCTAGAGTCAGCAGTAAACCTTGGAGAAGGCTTCTGCTAGCATAGAACACAATCAGAGCAACTACAATCATCTAGAAAGATGTAAGAGCAATGTTTTTGTGATCCTGAATTGTGGTCTTTGCATTTTATGTGTTGCTAACAAGCTGGAATGAATGGGGAATTGTAGATTTAGCTTCCGACATCATCAATTAAAATACGCATCGTCATTCGGAAGCACATCTGGGGGGAAAAAAGAAAGAAAAATGGAAGTCAATCATGTTTCAATAAATTTGTTGAGTAATAAGCAAGTCTTGAAGTTCCTCCTTCAATAGCGAAGTAAACAATTCATTTGAAGATACAAACTAACGCCATCCAGGCATCAGGTATCTGTGGCACATCCAGCACTCAGAACTTCCACTGAAATGCCTGGGAATTTGGTGTGCAAGTAGTGCTGGTGTGCAAACTGGGCAAGTTTGAAACAACTCAACATGTGGAAGCCCATGTTGAAATTCTGGCAGAAACAGCCCATAACCTTTTAGGCTAGAGCAGGGATCAGCAACCTTTGGCACGTGGTCCCCCAGGATAAGCACCCCGGTGGGCCAGTTTGTTTACCTGCCGCGTCCACAGGTTCGGCCGATAGCAGCTCCCACTGGCCGCGGTTCGCCGCTCCAGCACATCCCTCGGCCCGCGCCGCCGCTTCCCGCAGCCACCATTGGCCTGGAGCGGCGAACTGCGGCCAGTGTGAGCCGCTATTGGCCGAACCTGCGGACATGGTAGGTAAACAAACCGGCCTGGCCCACCAGGGTACTTACCCTGGGGGGGCCATGCGCCAAAGGTTGCCGATCCCTGGGCTAGAGTGTCACACAATGCGTTGCTTCTGGAGGTCAAACACATTGCACCCCCCAGGGACTCCCTGCATCCCTCCACCTCCCCCCACAAACTCCATGTGTGCCCACCCTCCTACCCCTCTCTATTTCAGGAAGTCCCTGCCCCTGGACACCTCCTCCCTGATGTCAGGGAGGCGCACACACACCATGGTGTCAGAGGTTCAGTGTGCCCCCCTTCACTCCAAGACAAGAGCTTCATGTCATTCTCCCCCACACTACTATTCCCAATCCCCCCCTCCGCCAACCCCCATATGCCTGGAGTTGTGTGCCAGCCCCTTATTTCTGGTCTTCCGGTCTGGGAGATAGGCCACTCAGAGACTCAACCATCTGAACTGTACTGGGAGAATAGACAGAACTGAGATAGCGGTATTTTTATGCTGCAAGGTGTTAACGGCTGTTATCAACTGGTTCTTTCCTCCAGAGACCATTATGGAGGTGAAGCCGTTGGGACTACTAACAAATGCAAGGGGCTCTGTGTGTCCTCCATTTCCCCATCCTCCCCCCCCGCCCCCCCAGGGATCTGCCCATTGATGTCTAGAACATTCCTTAAAAATTTGAAATTGGATGTGGCACTCAAAATGCCCTGTGTTACAGACACAGAAATGCCATCGAGCTGAGAGTAAGATCTCACTTTGCTCAGCCGACATCGAGCACCAAGTGATTTGATGTTTTGGGTCTTCCAGATGAAACCTTAAAAACCCACGGTCCTGTCTATTTTTGAGAAACTTTCCCTGCAGTCTTTAGAGGAGCCACATGAAAGTGGATATAAAAAGTGGCTTAAATCAGTCACAGCATCACACTCCCTCTCCTCCCTCCCTCTGCATACACTGTGTGATGCGCTCTACATGCCCAGCTTCACGCCAACCCAGAGTGCGTTTCTGCTAGGAAAATATTAACACAGCGGTGAGAAACATTAAGTCTTATTGCATTGTGCCTGCTTCCCTTGGGAAAGGGCAGCCAATGACAATCATGTTAAAAGACTACGGTCGCAAAGTCAAGCACTCAGAAGTTAGTAATATAATTAAAGACTGGTTTCAGAGTAGCAGCCGTGTTAGTCTGTATCCGCAAAAAGAACAGGAGCACTTGTGGCACCTTAGAGACTAACAAATTTATTAAGCATAAGCTTTCGTGGACTGCATCCAAAGAAGTGGGCTGTAGTCCACGAAAGCTTATGCTCTAATAAATTTGTTAGTCTCTAAGGTGCCACAAGTACTCCTGTTCTTTTTATAATTAAAGACTGTATCATAATGCACAGGCACAAGGGGGCCGAATTACAGATCTTCAAGATTGGAGGTAGGAGATGCGAGGAAAACAGACACTGCGATTTGGGGGGTGAGCCACACAAACCGTCTCCTATAAGCACCTATAAGCGGTGGCAACTATGAGATAAACCTCATGGAGTTCTCCCTACATTCACTCCAAATGTTCTTTCCTCTTCTTGCAGGCTTTAGGATGAAAAGGGTGCAATGTTTATATATAAGGCCCAGGTTGCTTTATTTATTTAAATATACATCCATCCCATCCCACTGTTTTTAAATAAAAAGGTGTTGACAAAAAGCATCTCCTCCCTCATAGAGACACTGTTTAGGACAATCAATAAAAACAAGACCAGGTGCACTTCTAGTGCTGGAGTGATGCTAACCAATGAATTAAGACCAATAATCTATGTGCTGGGGAGCTAATGAATGGGGAGAGTGAGAGAAGGATATTTAAACCCCACCTCACCACAGACCTGTCAAATATAGCATATGTATTAGTGCAGAGTCATTATTTATGCACAACCCGGCAAACAGTTGTGTGGGACAGAGAAGCTGCAAGGACATTACTTCACTGTTTCGGATACAGTTCCAGCAAACTGTTTCCAGAACAGTTGGGCTCCCTAATGGAACAGGGTAACAGAAATGGACTGTACCGCCTTAGGGCACTGAAGCAGTTATACACTAAAAGTAGTACCATATGGGCTTTTATCATACTCAGTGAATTATGCTGCTCCATTGTTTTCAATAGCTGCACCTTCAGCAGTGACCCCAGGTTTGGGTCGAGCCACAGCGCACATATGTGATTTGGAAAGAATGATTCACTTGGAAGATACATTTCCAAGAAAGGAGGTGGTTTTCCTGATGGCTGAGGAAATACAGAATTCCCAGCTCCGGGCAAGAGATTGTGCTGTGCTTATCTGAAAGAAAAAAAAAAAAAAACAAAAAAAAAAAGACATGCCACTCAGGGCTCCAAAAGTGAACCACCACCTAGTAGCCTTAGGACTAACCCTATCAGCAAAAGCTGATCCCCTTAGGGGCCCCTAAGGAGTCTAAACATACCAAACAGGGAACTCTGCTTTCACAACCTTGGGAATCTGAAACAGAACATGGGGTGGGGAACTTTCCCCTCTCCTAAATTACTGGTTGCTGAGAGGGGAAGGGAAGCACCAATCTCTGCGTGAAATAGCTAAACATGACACAAAAGAGTACCATTGACAAAAAGGCCTCACTCTGCCCAATATAAGTTGGTCAGCCAGAATGAAACTTCTGCAAATGTTGTTCTACTTCCTGTCACTGGGTAGGGCTGCGCTCCTCTGTGTATCAAGATCACTTGCAATTAGGAAGTGCAATTTCAAGCCATGAGCAGAATCAAACCAAAACGACAAACAGTTAGATATGTAATTGTAAACAGTCTATAAACCAGTCTTGTAAAATTCCACTTTCCCAGGGAAAGTAAATTGACAAGTAAATGAAGTATTTGTTTTAAAGGGCATGAAAGACTGTTTGTTTGTTTTTTAACCTCTGTCATAGTAATGGGTAATGGAGTAGACTTTGTGCCTGGTCTAGTAGATTTTCATTACAAGTTTTGCAAGGCTACTATGAACAACGACTTCAGTATCAAGCTGAGGGTGGCCATTCCGACTAAGTCAATTTTGCTGCTGAAAATAAAAGGAGGACTGAACATAGAGTAATAAATTGGAACTTTAGGGACAAACACAGGGTGGAACCAAGAGACAAAAGAACAATTAAAACTACTTTGAAACATCTCAGAGCGGTAGAGACAAAAAAGGGGAACAAATAGAAGGCACAAGCAGTTTTATTACATAAATACAACTGACTTGTTTGGCAATGGAGACGTGGATTCAAATGACTGGAATGGCATACAAGAGTGATCTATCCTGGAGACATAATGCAACACTGTCTCCCCTGCATACAAGGAAGTACACACATTCTGAAGTGCACATGGCCATGAAAGATAAAAATGTCAAAAAGTCTAACATAAAGGAAGTAAAGTACAGACAGGAATTCATGCTAGAGGTATGCTGTACAGACCATCAAGTCAGAAAGGGAAGGTGGACAAGGGCTTCCAAGAGCAGATACCAAACTACAGCACTGTAGTAAAGAGGACTTCACTGGTTTTCCCAAACCCAGTTGAGTGCAGTTCTGCCATAGAAAATAGAAAAAAAAAAGTTTGCAATTAGAAAAAACTATTGGTTTTGTTCTTGTCCAAATTTGGACAACTCACCAATTGAGAGTTTGTATGAAAATAAAACAAATCCCCTTAGAACTGAAAACTCATTTAAGCAACAGTTGAATTATTACCCTAAAAAGGAAAAAACCCTGATATAAGGCTAAAGAAAGTGAGAGAACTAAAACTAAAGGATCATGGTCAAATTTGGACCAAAATGTAAGCTTTGTTTAACAAACAATAAATAAACAAACAAATTCTTTATAAGACAGGAAGCCAACAGAAATGTTTCCACAATTAAAACAAAAACAAATAAAAATACTTAAAGACCCCTACCTAAACTGTTTACAACCCAAACTTTGCAGCACTAAGAACCTGAAAGTAAAATTGACTTCACTGATTTTCCATTGCATATGTCAAGAAAAAATAAAAAACTAAAACAAAAATGGATTTTAAAAATTCTCTTTAGTTTAAAATATTTGTAAGAACATAAAGAAATTTCTTTACGACATATTTTCAGATGAATTATGTCCCATTAATTAAAATACCTTGACTAAAATTATCAACATCCCAATATGTCTGAGAAAGTAATTTCTACAGACATGAAAAGTAAATGTGACATTCATGCTAAATGTCTCATAATAGCACAATGTTTAAAATCAGAGTATAAATTTAATACTGCTTCATGTAATATATAAAAAAAGCATATAATCATTAGACACGTTTTTTAAAAACCTACTTGAGTTCAAACCCTTGCAAATAACTATTACATTTTGGCCTGTTCCTCCAATCTCAAAACTGTCTTCTCTGTTGGAAATTAGTATAACGTGCTATTCATCACTGCCCTGTTATCAGCTGTACAGGATGACTTGTACAGTAGAACCCCAGAGTTATGAACCCAGAGTTACGAACTGTCCAGTCAACCAACCACACACCGGGAACCAGAACTATGCAATCAGGAAGCAGCAGAGACAAAAAAGGCAAATACAGTACAGCACAATACTGTGTAAAACAAACTACTAAAAAATAAAGGGAAAGTTTTTAAAAGATTTGATACAGTAAGAAAATGGTTTCTGTCCTGGTTTCATTTAAATTAAGATGGTTAAAAGTAGCATTTTTCTTCTGCATAGTAAAGTTTCAAAGCTGTATTGTCAATGTTCAGTTGTAAGCTGAAAGAACAACCACAACTTTTTGTTCAGTGTTATGAACAACCTCTATTCCCAAGGTGTTCGTAACTCTGAGGTTCTACTGTAATCACATTACAATACAAAAACTGAAATTCAACCATTACCAATGGATCCTAAAAAGGTCAATATGCTCAGAACTAAGCACAGATCTGTTTTTATGGTCATTAACATGCCAACTTCACTTCTCAACCCCCTCTCTCTTCCCCAAACTGGACTAATAGTTTTAAGTAGCAGTTGCTCATCAGTTTCAAAAAGGATTGTGTCACCTTAATCCTAACAGAACAGGAATGTCAATTATACATGATGTATGTAGCGTAGCGGTACCCATGTTGGTCCCAGGATATCAGAAAGCTTTCAAGCTTCTCTCACCAATAAAATATATTACCTCACCCACCTTGTCTCTTTAAACTGTATATGTTGAAAGTTTTTAAAGACCATTTAAATTCAATCTTAAACTCAATGAAGTCAGTGGAGTTACTTAATGGATTATAGTCAACTCCGGTATATTTAATTAAGGATTGAGAAGGGAAAGAAAATCCCTAAATCCATTATCTTTAGGTTCCTTAAAGCTATATCCAAATTTGTGCAATTAGGGCTTTGATCCTGCAAGATGCTGAGCACAGGTGCTCAAATACTTTGTTGGATCAGGCTATAGTGCTCAGAATGCTGCTGCAAAAGGTCAATTTCATAACCTGTTGCTTCAGCTATGTCGTTAGGGGAAGGAAGATAGCTCAGTGGTTTGAGCATTGGCCTGCTAAACCCAGGGTTGTGAGTTCCATCCTTGAAGGGACCACTTAGTGATCTGGGGCAAAAA